AACTCATACAGAATGCCTGCGGCGATATCGAAGCGGAAGCTGTCCAGCGCTTCGCGGTACGCTTTGATGGTCTGGTTGAACTCTGCCAGAATCCAGCGGTCCGCCAGCGACAGCGTCATTTCACCGCCGTTGAAGCCGCAATCCTGACCTTCTGTGTTCATCAGCACAAAGCGGCTGGCGTTCCACAGCTTGTTACAGAAGTTACGGTAACCTTCCAGGCGCTTCATATCCCAGTTGATGTCACGACCGGTAGACGCCAGCGCCGCCAGGGTGAAGCGCAGGGCATCGGTGCCGTGCGGCTCAATGCCGTTCGGGAACTGTTTCTCGGTGCGCTTACGGATTTTGTCCGCCAGCTGCGGCTGCATCATATTGCCGGTACGTTTTTCCAGCAGTTCTGGCAGCGAAATACCGTCAACCATATCCAGCGGGTCGATAACGTTACCCTTGGATTTGGACATCTTCTGGCCTTCGTCGTCACGAATCAGACCGGTCATGTAAACAGTGTGGAACGGCACCTGCGGTTTGCCATTTTCATCTTTGATGAAGTGCATGGTCATCATGATCATGCGGGCAATCCAGAAGAAGATGATGTCGAAGCCGGATACCATCACGCTGGTTGGGTGGAACTGACGCAGGGCGTCGGTGTTTTCCGGCCAGCCAAGGGTAGAGAAGGTCCACAGTGCAGAAGAGAACCAGGTGTCGAGAACGTCTTCGTCCTGACGCAGGGCAACGTCGGCACCGAGGTTATTTTCCTTGCGCACTTCTTCTTCGTTGCGGCCAACATAAACGTTACCTGCTTCGTCGTACCATGCAGGGATACGGTGACCCCACCACAGCTGACGAGAGATACACCAGTCCTGAATATCGCGCATCCAGGAGAAGTACATGTTTTCGTACTGCTTCGGTACGAACTGAATGTCGCCGTTCTCAACCGCTTCAACCGCCGGTTTCGCCAGTACATCGGCACGCACGTACCACTGGTCGGTCAGCATTGGTTCGATAACTACGCCGCCACGGTCGCCGTAAGGAACGGTCAGGTCGTGCGGTTTAATTTCTTCCAGCAGGCCGAGTGCGTCAACCGCAGCAACGACTGCTTTACGTGCAGCAAAACGCTCGAGTTTCTGGAACTCTGCCGGGATTTCGCTGGAATAAACGTCAGATTCGTTACCTTTGGTATCGAACACCTGGGCGCTTTCACGGATATCGCCGTCAAAGGTCAGGATGTTGATCATCGGCAGCGCGTGACGTTTACCCACTTCATAGTCGTTAAAGTCGTGCGCCGGAGTGATTTTCACGCAGCCGGTGCCTTTTTCCATGTCGGCGTGTTCGTCGCCAACGATCGGAATACGACGGTTAACCAGCGGTAGAATGACATATTTGCCAATCAGGTCTTTGTAACGCGGATCTTCCGGGTTAACGGCCACGCCGGTATCGCCCAACAGGGTTTCCGGACGGGTAGTCGCAACCACCAGATAATCTTTACCGTCTGCGGTTTTCGCGCCGTCAGCCAGCGGATAGCGGATGTGCCACATCGAACCTTTCGATTCGCGGTTTTCCACTTCCAGGTCAGAGATAGCGGTGCGCAGTTTCGGATCCCAGTTTACCAGGCGTTTGCCACGGTAAATCAGGTCTTCTTTATACAGACGAACGAAAACTTCTTTCACCGCATTGGACAGGCCTTCGTCCATCGTGAAGCGTTCACGCTCCCAGTCGACGGAGTTGCCGAGACGGCGCATCTGACGGGTAATGGTGCCGCCGGATTCCGCTTTCCATTCCCAAATTTTGTCGATGAAAGCTTCGCGGCCGTAGTCGTGACGGGTTTTACCTTCTTCTGCGGCAATCTTGCGCTCAACGACCATCTGGGTAGCGATCCCGGCGTGGTCAGTACCGACCTGCCACAGGGTGTTTTTGCCCTGCATGCGCTGATAGCGGATCATGGTATCCATGATGGTTTGCTGGAAGGCGTGACCCATATGCAAACTGCCGGTGACGTTCGGCGGCGGGATCATGATGCAGAAACTTTCCTGGCTTTCATCGCCATTAGGCTTAAAGTAGCCCTGCTTTTCCCAGTGCTCGTAAAGCGGCTGTTCGATATCTTGTGGGTTGTATGTCTTTTCCATTATTTCCAGGTTGCCGTATTCAGGTTGAAACCAGCCACGCGGTAGGCTTTATAGCGTTCGCGCGCCAGTTGTTTCAGAGAATCTTCATAAGGAACGAAGTCTACCACTTCTGTGAAAGCGGTGGCAAAATCTGCAAAGCTTGTTCGCAGACTAATCAATAT